TATGGGTACCCTTTGATGTTTTGGTGTCTCCATGTGTTGCGAGGTCCAGCACGGAAACGAGGACACTTTCCGCGACATGTTGCGCATCAAGCGTAGCGTGCAGGCCATGTTCGCACAGGTGCATTTCAACGCCACGGATCGTTCGGGCGCTGTTGCTCCTTGCTCGGTTCCTCCAGTGGCGGGACGGGAGGTGGTGGGCGCGTGGAGGTTATGAATCGTACCTGAGAGTCAAGGAATGCGTGTGGTGCCTCTTCTGCATATCTCGCCTCCGTGCACGGCTCCGAGACAAGAGGGCTCTCGTCCGCCTAGTGGGAGCCCTTTCGGGGGCATTGTGGAGGCCTCTTGGGGTCCTTTCGGGGGGGGGCCTCTCCCGAGCCTTCTGGAAGCCCTGTGGGATCCTTTTGGGGCCTGCTGGCGGTCTCGGGGGCCATCTCGGAGGAAGGGGCACGAAGTGTAAGTTGATGGTTTCCATCATGGGACCGCCTTGGGACACTCGTCATCCAAGTAGCCTGCTCACGGGAGGTCATTTGGGAGGTTTTCTCAGGACCGTGTTGCGGCAGTGTTGGAGAATGTTGGAACTTCCTGGGCCTTCCGGGGCACTGAGCAGGCTACCTTCCGTGCTTATCGAACCTCCTCGGCGCAGCGCGTCGTACGGTCAAGACGCTGAAATCAGGACCACGTTGGATTCAGGAGGGGTTCTGATGTTTGGACTGCTTCTTGGATCAAGGGAGGAAAGAACACCCAGACCGGACAATTGGCGTTTATTAGACGGCCTTGGGCGTTTATTCAACAGCCCTGCCCTGTTTTGATTCCTTCTTTGGGCGCGTTTACTAAACGGCTTCGCGCGTCGGGGTGGGTATTTTCGGGGTGGATTCTCTGCCCTCTATCAGACCTAGGTTGGAGAGCCTACTCGCGGCCGAGGCTCGCCGTGGCCAGCAAAACAAAACACGCATCACCGAAACGCATACAGGATGGTGCTACCGATCTTTCCCGAGAGAGGCTCGGTGGAAACATCCTGGAGCCGTTTCCTTTGAGCCGCTGCGACGTAGTGTCGCGGCGCAGCCGTCAGGGTGCGTGCCTGTTGTCGCGGCGTTGCCTCACAGGCCTTGTCTGAGGGCTTGGGGGTGGCCTGTTTGGACCACTAACTCGTCCAGCTCTGAGTGCTCTTCCCTCCCCCTCTCTCCGCGCGGCCGCGCTAGTTTTTTTCCCTGTCTTGCATGCCGGCCTATAGCCATTCGGTTACCCCAAATTTTCATACGCTGGAGCGGACCGCCTCTGCCTCGCCCCCGACGGGAAAATTGTTTGGACCACCATGAGGCCGCATCGGTCGACTGTCGATGACTTGTGGAGGCCCTCGTGGGAGCTCGTTGCGAGTCCTGGGGCCGTCTTTGAGCGATGGTTCTTTGCAGAGCTGCTCCGGATGGGCTCGGCGCCAACATCTTTGCGAGGCAGATTGGCGAGGAAGGGTGGAGGAGGAGGAGGAGAGCATTGAAGAGGCGTCCCAGCCTTGCTCAGCGAAAGCGAGGAGTTCCAGGCCGATTCGGTGGAGCAGGGTGGACAACGAGAGGGGAGAAGGAGGAAAGGGGAGAAAGGATAGTTCTAGCCCAACCCAGCCCAGCCCATGTCAACGTACGAAGATCAGACCGCTGGAAGGGCTGGAGGAGGGGGCAAGCAAGGAGGGGAGAAGGGGAGGAGAAGGGGAGGGCAGAGGAGGAGGAGGAGGAGGAGGAATAAAGCGAGAAGGGAAGATTCTGCACTATCGACGGCGCACGCATGACACTGTTGGATGTCATGATCATTGTTATGCCATCTCGTGCCAGGGGTGGTCAACCAAGAACCCGACCCCATCCGAGGACCCACCAGGCACTTGCCCAAATGCCCAAGCACGGGGTACGTGGGTGTGTAGGAGCGAGCTTGAGGCCAAGAATCCGTCCAACGTTCGCCCACCTCCCTGCTACGCTCGGCTGCGCGGGCAGGCCAAGTGTGCATTGGCGGAAAGGCAGCTTCAGGAAATGGTTGAGATCGCTCGGCCCTCCTCTTCCCACATCCTCCCCCCCCCTTCTATGATGGGCATGTTTTCCACCACCACCACCATAAGTTGGAGCGGGGTAGGAGGAGGAGGAGGAGGAGGAGGAGGAGGAGGAGGAGGACCCCTTCCCCTCCAACTTATGGTGGTGGTAGTGGAAATTAAGCCCATCATTCTAGACCCCTGTCCCAGGCCTGTACCCTGTGAGCGACGCCAGCAAAAACGGGCTCGTGCTCGGCGATCTTGGCGCGCACACGTCTCGCGCAAGGGCTGCGCGTGTAAGCGCCCTCTCCTCCATTCTCTGCGTGTGCCACACCAGAGGCCCGCGTAGGCCACCGCGTACGGTCGGCCGCTGTGCCATCTCGCGCAGGATCGTCGCTCCCGCGTCGGGGCTGCCGTGCACAGCTGCAGGCAGCGAGCGGGGAGGGGGACGGGGAGGGGGAGAGACGCGATCAGCGGGCCAGAGGCTTGGCATCGCTCGGACGTGTGCATTTTTTTCCGTCGGCGAGGGCCATCGAGGAGCATCCTCCATCATTTGGCGAACAAGCCACGCACGACACAGAAAAGCACACACAGGGAGTGGACGTCCGAGCGATGGCCAGGCAGCGAGCGGGGAGGGGGAGAGCCGGGGGAGAGACGCGATGCCGAAGGGCGGGACGGGGAAGGGGGGGCCAGAGGCGCCCCCGGCAGCGGCTCGCAGCCGGAGTCCGCGCCCCTGCCGCGGGGCTGCCCGCGCAGCTCGGGCAAAAGTCCACGGGGCGCGTCGCCGCTCCTCCGCCTCGAGGCGGTGCGGTTCCGAGCGATGCCGATGCCGTTTCGATGCGGTGTCGCATTCCGATCTGGAGTTCGATTTCTCGATGGAGGCCCTACTCCAGAGCGTGAATTACCTACCCCGCTTTCGCTTCCAGGCAAAACCGAGCCACACCACGCGCCTCCTCGTCAAGCGGCCCGACCAGTACAGGCCGCAATTTGGCATCGTTTGGTGTATCTTGGAAGCGAGGGTGGTCAAAAGCGAGGTAGGTTTGTTTTCCCGACTACTAGCCTGCCGATTTCCGCCGGTCTGCCGTTCTGCCTTGTCGATTCGATTCTGGATTCTCCTGCGTCCACCTCGGAGCGGAGGTGAGCTGGCACACGCCAAGGCTTGACCACCACCCGCTGGCTCCAGAACTCCAGCTTGGTGGCAAGCTGAGCAATGTGCTGTTACAGCTGGCCCTCCAGAGTCTGTTGCGTGCGCGCGTCTTGTAGACAAGAGCGTCCATTGTCCTCCAGCTTAGTCCGGTGCAGAGGTGCACTGAAGGTTTCTAGGGCGACCTCCATCGCACCCACTCGCTTCAAAAAGGCCTTAATCTCGCCCTCGAGGTGGGCCCTTACGGGAATGACAAGCTGATTCTGCATGTGCTTTGGAGTCTTCAAATAACGCAAGGTGCCCAATGTCGTTCACGGTGATCCTGTCGCCCTTCTTCTCCCAGAGCTCTCCAGGGGCCTGCACGTCATCGGAGGCCAGCATCTTGCCCACAGCATCGTCACGCCCGACATGAGCTGGATGAGCCGCGATGTCCCGGATCCTGGAGGCCTTTCCCAGCTCAGGGCTCCAGAGACGGGGTGACAGGAAACGGGGGCACAGGAAACGCCGATTCCCACGTTTGGCTATGTCCCTGTTTACGGGCCCCTGGGCTCCGTAGATCGGGGGTGGACAGACCTCCTACCCTGACACGTCGATTAAGGATTTGGCCGTTTTCGGTTCGCGGGAGGGCGTCGCGGCCGTCGTTTTTGCGGGTCCAGGTCCGTCGGTTTGGGTCCCAGGCCGTTTTCACGAAGGGGAGGTCTACTAAAGGGAGGTTTGTCCACCGCCGAGCAGAACCGGGCAGCGCAGACGGGGCCCGATGGAAAAGCCTCAAGCCCCCCGTCCAGCTATGCCCCCGTTGCCCAGCCTCCCCCGCGACGAGGGACCACAGCATGGCCGGCGCACCTCTCGGGCACGGTGCCCGGTGCCCGGCCTTGCAGCGCTGCGGGCACCTCCGATCTTGTCGCGGCCCATCTGTCGCGGGCCGGGCGGCGGCCTCCTCGAGGTACGCGCGCGTCCTCCTCGAGGGGCCTCCTCGAGGTACGCGCGCGTCCTCCTCGAGGGGGGCAAAACGTGGCCTTCTCCTCCTCCCCCCTCCTCCCTCCTCCCTCCTCCTCCTCCTCCTCCTCCTCCTCCTCCTCCTCCTCCTCCTCCTCCTCCTCCTCTTCCTCCTCCCAACTCGGAGGTCCGCGTAAGACCCGGGGGAGCGTAAGACCCAGGTTTGCCAGGACTCGGGTTCGCCATCGTTTTTTGTCGACCGCGCCTCGGATTTTGACGAGGAGGAGTTTCGTAGGGATGTCTGCAGCGGGAGGCCTCGTCGAAATGCAGGCTCGGCCTCGTCATTTTCTTGACGACCTCGTCGGGGATTTCCGAGTCCCCTGTGCCCAGGTCTTACGTCCCCCTGAATTTGGCAAGCGCAGCGCTTTTCTCAGGACGTCGGGCATCGTCGGGGGCGGCCAGGAGGGGGGGGTCATGACCAGAGGGGGGTGGATACCATGGCGGGGGCCATGATACCTCCCCAGGTTTAAAAGGCGCCTCTTCATATTTCGATGCGTTCCCTGGCCCCCCCTGGGCCGCGCACATGCCGCCGGCCATGACTTGCGCCCCCCCCTCTTGAACACCCCCCTCTTTGGCCGCCCCCGACATCGCCCACAGCTTCAGAGCACGTGGGGCGTCGAGACGGAAGAAGGCCATCCTCAGGTCGGGCATGTCCTCCTACAGGGGGACTTTGGACGAAACATGAAAGATAGCCAAAGCATACACCAGACTTTCAATCAGCCAAAACATCGTCCCCATTTTTATGGTTTGGCTATCGTTGAACATTCCTCCTGCAGAGGGACAGGCCCGACTCGAGGCTGTCCTCGCCTTCCTCCTTCCCCTCTCCTCCTCTCGGCCGCCGCCCTCCCGCAGGACATCGCCGCCGAGGCGGCCGCAGGCGGGGAGCTGGACCCCATGCAGGCGAGAAGGGCACCAGGGAATGCCGCGATGCGGCCGGGGAAGGAGGAGGAGGAGGAGAAGGAGGGAAGGAGGAGGAGGAGGAGGAGGAGGAGGAGGAGGAGGAGGAGGAGGAGGAGGAGGAGGGGTGAAGGGAGGAGGAGAGGAGGAGGGGAGGAGGAGGAGGGGAGGAGGAGGAGGAGGAGGAGGAGGAGGAGGGAAAGGAGGAGGAGGAGGAGGGGAGGAGGAGGAGGAGGAAGGGAAGGAGGTAGGAGGAGGAGGAGGAGGAGGAGGAGGAGAGGGGGGAGGAGGAGGAGGAGGGAAAGGAGGAGAAGGGAGAGGAGGAGGAGGAGGGCAGCGAGGAGGAGGAGGAAGAGGAGGAGGAGGGAAAGGAGGAGGGGGGAGGAGGGGCAGCGAGGAGCCCCAGATTGTGGAGGAAGGGCAGCTGGAAGGACTGGTGGAAGAGGAGCGTGAGGAGGAGGAGGAGCGCCAGGAGGAGGGGGGAGGAGGGGCAGCGAGGAGCCCCAGATTGTGGAGGAAGGGCAGCTGGAAGGACTGGTGGAAGAGGAGCGTGAGGAGGAGGAGGAGCGCCAGTGGAAATCCAAGGTCCATCAACGATGTTGGAACACGCCCAGCTCCATCTTCACAGCCCCCGTACACGGTCAGGAGGAAAACACACACAGACACAATTAATCGTCGGTCCCCCAGAAAATATTGGAAAATATGGGAATTGGGCGGGAAGACAAAAACCCAGAAAATATGCGAAACTAAGGGGAATCGTTTTATGTGTGTGTGTATGTATGTGTGTGTCCCAGGGCCCCTTCACAAGGGTTCTTCTCCGCTCATGGAAGTGCTGCGTTGGGGGACAGCCGTGCGAAAATACAGAAGCGTGCCAAAACACCGTTCTCAGGACTTCGGCGCCACGTGTCAAGTTGGCCGTTGCGTTTTTTAACTTCTGAATCGCGCCAGAACGCCATTCCCGGGAGATCAACACCGCGAATCAACGTAATTGTTGCGCCATGAAAACCTTGAATCGTTGCAAACACACTTTCTGGTGCTTTAACCATGAGAATCACCTGAACTTGCGGTTCCAAAGTTTAGAAAGCATGTGCACGGCGCTCCGGCGAGAGCCACATTTGAAAAAGGAGCCGCCCTCAATCCGAGAAATTCTTGCAATCGTCTCGAAGGAATGTACGAACGCTAAGGCGAGGGCAACATGTTTAAAACGAACCGCCCTCAATCCGTGAAACTGTGCTGTACTTTTGCCAAACGCATGTGCGCGGCTGTAAAGCGAGAGCCACATGTTGAAAACGGCCCGCCATGAGTCCGCGAACGTATTGCAGGTGGTTCAGACGAACGTGCGCGGCGCTAAGGCGAGCGCCACATTTTGAAAACGGCCCTCCCTCAATCCGTGACATTCTTACCAGTTTGTAATACGAATGCGCGCGGCGCTAGGGCGAGAGCCACACTTTCTGAAAAGAAGCCACACTCAATCCATGAAGCTGCTGCAAATGTGTAATACACTTGTGCGCGACGCTAATGCGATGGATACATGTTGGAAACCACCCGCCCTCCATCTGCGAAGCTCTTAACAGCTTTCCAGCTTAAAACTCATAAATGAGAAAGAAGCCTCAGGCGAAACCGCCCGACTAACCCTTCCGATTGGCCCCGGGGTGCGACAAGGCGGAGTTGATGATAAGGCAAAGGATTGGGGGAGGCGGGGGAGGAACAGGGGAAAAGAGCAAGAAGATGAGGAGGACGAGGAGTTGAGGGTTGGGCAAGGGGGAGGAGGCCGGTGATGAGGGCCAAAGGATGCAGTGAGCGGTGGCGGCGTTGAGTGTGTGGTTTCGTGTGAGTGCGTGTGCGTGTGTGTGTGTGTGTGTGTATGTGTGCGTGCGTGTGTGCGTGCGTGCGTGCATGTGAGTGTGTGAGTGTGTGTGTGTGTGCGTGTGCGTGTGCGTGTCAGTGTGCGTGTGCGTGTGCGTGCGCGTGTGCGTGTCAGTGTGCGTATGCGTGTGCGTGTGCGTGTGCGTGTGCGTGTGCGTGTGCGTGAGTGTGTGGGGGTGCGTGTGCGTGTGCGTGTGCGTGCGCGTGTGCGTATGGATGGGTGCGTGGGTGCGTGGGTACGTGGGTGCGTGGGTGCGTGAGTGCGTGTGTGCGTCTGTGCGTCTGTGCGTGTGTGCGTCTGTGCGTCTGTGCGTCTGTGCGTCTGTGCGTCTGTGCGTCTGTGCGTCTGTGCGTCTGTGCGTCTGTGCGTCTGTGCGTCTGTGCGCCTGTGTGTCTGTGCGTCTGTGTGTCTGTGCGTGTGTGCGATTGTGCGTGTGTACGATTGTGCGTGCGTGCGTGTGAGTGTGTGTGCGTGTGTGCGTGTGTGCGTGTGTGCGTGTGTGCGTGTGTGCGTGTGTGCGTGTGCGCGTATGCGCGTGTGCGCGTGCGCGTGCGCGTGCGCGTGCGCGTGTGCGTGTGCTTGTGCGTGTTCGTGTGCGTGTGCTTGTGCAATTGTGCTTGTGCGTGTGCGTGTGTGTGTGTGTGTGTCTGTGTGTAGGGGGTTGGGGGCATATGTCCGTATGTTTGTTTGGGCGAGAGTTCCCTTGCTCCTCTGGCGTGGATCCGCCCGGAATTCGAACGTCGAACTGAGCATGTCTTTACCTCGCTAAGGTCAAGGAGGAACACAGGTAGCAGCAGGACATGGCGGGGAGAGAACGGAGGATAAGAATGGGGGAGGGACGCATGAGAGAAGGAAGGGCGTTGACGAGGAGAGAACGGATCACTCCAACTGGGTCACAGAGGGTCGTTGCGGGATCGTTCTCCCTCCCCCCCTCGCCCTCCTCCATCCCTCCCTCCTTCTCCTGCATCCTCGTTGGTTTCTTCTTCCTACGCCCTCATCCTCTCCTCATCCTCTCCTCCGTCTCCCCCCCTGGGGTTAGTAGGCTGCCAGATTGTGTTGGAGATGACTCCCTTTTCCCCCCCCATCTTTCCATTCCCTTTCCTTTCCCTCCCCTTCCCCTCCTTCCCTCTCTCTCGACTTCCCTTTCCTTTCCTCCCCCTCCCCCCCATCCCCCGGACGCCTCTGGGGAGGCCCCAAGAGGTCCAACGATGTCCGACAACAGTTGGCTGCCTATGCCTTTCGACGCCCGCAACTTTGGACGGGCGGAGGAGGGAGGAGGAGGAGCCACAGGGGGGCCACAGACCTCCGCCCCGTGGGAGGCAGGAGGCCTCTGGAGGCCCACGGGGGGCCTCCAGAGAGGTCCCCTGCCTCCTGCGGCGGGCGAGAGGCAAGAGGAGGAAGGTGCGGAAGAAGGCCCAGGAGACGGAGGGGAAGGAGGCGGAGCGGGAGGACGAGGCAGATGCGCGCGCGCCAGATCTGATATCATGCCCCTCCCACCCATCCCTTCCCATTACGCTGATTCGAATGTGTCCGCCGACGGGTGTCCTAGTGGTCTTGGATCCCACATCTGTGCCCCACCGCGTGATTCGCAACCAGACAGGGAGGTGTGCACATTGGAGCAGGGGGAGGAGGAGGAGGAGGAGGAGGAGGAGGAGGAGGTGGCGGATGGGATGAAGATGAGAGGAAGGAGGAGGAGGGAGGGAGGAGACGGGGAGGAGGAGAAGGAGGAGGAGGAGGAGGAGGAGAGAGAGGAGGAGGAGGAGGAGGAGGAGGAGGAGAAGGAGAGAGGAGGAGGAGGAGGAGAGGAATTCGTTGGAATCCGCTGATATCCACGGGGGGCAGGGAGGAGGAGGAGGAGGAGGAGGAGGAGGAGGAGGAGGAGGAGGAGGAGGAGGGGGAGGAGAGGGGTGGGAACAGTAGGAGCAGAAGAGCGGGAAGCAGGAGGACCAGGGGAAGACGGCGGAGGGAGAAGGTGGTGGAGGGGGAGGGGCGACAGCGACGACGAGGGAATTGTATCCAGAATTGTTGCCAGCGCTTTGGCGAGGGAGCCATTTCGAACGTTGGGAGCTAAACGCGGATCCTGAAATGAGGCCAGGGTTGTCGTGGGAGCACCACTGTGAGAAAACGTGTGCGTTTGTTTGTTGTTTTGATTCTTCGTACTTGTACATATATGTAGAGAGATATTGATGTATGTATTGTTGTATGGACGCGTTTATGTGTTCTCATCCCCACGTATACAGAAAATGCAGACATAGACATACGTGTCTACATACATAGCTATATAGACACACGCATGTATTTATACATTATAGAGATACACCTCATACCTCCTGCACGTGTGAAAGAAATATCAATTTGCGGGAGAGGCGGCGATTCGCTCGCGCACTGTCCAGGAGGACAGGAGAGCAGTCCTCGTACCAACATATCAAGCTAGGTTCGCAAGCGCCACATCTGGCGGGGGATCGGCCAAGCTAGGTACGCTCGCGCCACATTTGGCAGGGGGGCCAGGCAACCTAGGCGCGTTCGCGCCACATCCGACAGGGGGACCAGGGGGTTCCCCTCAGTGACGGTGGTCGGGACCCACTCGGATGCCCCTGGGCCGAGGAGGGAGGGGAGGGAGGGAGGGAGGGAAGGGTGAATGCGCATCTGACAGCCTACTACGCCCACCCATCCCTTGCCATTGCGCTGTTTATTCCTCTGTCGGCGGACGCGCGGCATAGCCGACCTGGAACTCCCCCCCAAACGGACCCCATCGTGTTGTGCACAATCGGGAAAGGGAGAGCAGTTTACAATAGGAAAAGGGGTGGGTAGGCGGGTGAGCAGGAGGAAAAGGAGGAGGATATGGAAGGAGGACCAGGACGAACAGCAACAGCAGGAATTGTATTGGAAGGAGCGGGAGGAGCAGGAGGTCCAGGGTCCAAGGGCAGAGGAGGGGAAAGGTGCGAAGCGACAACGAGTAATATGGACTCCGATCCAGAGGAGTGGCCCGCGGACGACGAGGGCAATGTCCGATCCGAAAATGAGGCCCACGATGCAGCGGGAGCACCATGTTGAAACACCGAAGAAAATAGGACTGTACAACTATCATAAGAACATCGCCGTTGGTCAATCCTGTGCGTAAAGAGGTCCCGGAGAGAACCAGCGATCTTCCAGACGGGTTCAGGGTAGAGGAGAGTAGTATTCATAATGTGAAAGTGTTGAGTGGTTGTAGAGGAGAAGCAGGGGTATGTAGTGGAGGAAGGAGGAGGAGGAAGATCAGGAGGAGCTAGAGTGGGAGGAGGAACAGGAGGGGGAGTAGTGGGAGGCGGAGGAAGGAGGACGAGCAGGAACAGGATAAAGAGGAGGAGGGGTGGGGAGGAGAAAGAAGAGGACGAGCACGCCTAAGCTTTTGCAGCGTAACGGGAGAGGGGGATGCCAAGGAGGCGGAGGAGGAGGAGAAGGAGGAGGAGGAGAAGGAGAGGAGGAGGAGGAGGAGGAGGAGGAGGAGGAGGAGGAGGAGGAGGAGGAGCAGGAGGGGGCCACCCCGCCAGAGTGCCGCGCGGCCAGGCGGCCGAGCAGCAGCTGAAGGAGGCGGAGGAGAGGAAGCGGGCCGGAGGCGCCGCGGCTCTGCTCACCCTACTTATCGGGGGGGGGGGTACAGGTGCTCCTGGCCCAAGGTGCCCCCAGGATTCTCGGGGTGGCCCAAACGGCCTCCAGGGCACACCTCACGAGGCCCCAAATGGAGCGACAAGCTGGGGGCACCTTGGGCCAGGGGCACCTCTAGCAACACTCGACCTCTCGGGGGGTGCTACAGGTGTTCCTGGCCCAAGGTACCCCCGGCTATTCGCACAATTCTGGAGCCCCTGGGGCCCCCTGGCCTCGTGAGGGCCGCTCTGGGGGCCTTGAGGGCCTCCTTGGAGATCCTGGGGGCCCCTTGGGCCAGGGGTAACTACTTCTGGCAACATCCTCCTTGCTTCGGGCAAGACGACACACGACGACGAGGTCGACATCTCGGGCGGCCGCGGACGATGACGACGACGATGGCGAAACAGAACGATCGATCAACGACGAACGACGACGACGACGATGGCGACGACGACAAACGAACGAACGACTGCCCACCCAGACAAGTCGACTGAAAAAAATCGTGATTAGTCCACTCGACACTGGCATTCGAGTATACTGGTACGGTACAGTCCACACTCAGTTTCGCTAGTCGACGTGCCTCTCGTTGAATACATGTGATTGACTTTGGACGTCGATTAGCTTCCCCGCCATGCCAGGAGGGCGTATGCACCGATGCCAGTCTCGTATTCAATGGAGCACTGTTGGTATCCATCCTTCCTCCCTCCTGCTCCTCCCTCCTCCTCCTCCGCCTCCTCCTCCGCCTCCTCCTCCTCCTCTTCCCGCCTCATCCCTCCCGCCCGCACCCCTCCTCCTGCCCTCTGCGCGCTGCTCCTCCAACTGCCGCTCGGTGAGGGGGAGGGCCGAGGCTCGCGATCCGAGGCTCGAGGCCCTGTCCTTCGAGCTGGCCCCTGCAGACCCGTCGGGGACCGGCCGATCCTGACATCTGCTCTGCCCGGGCCCCGCCCCAGGCGGGCAGCGTGCCGGCCGCGACTCCGGGGTCGCAGGGCGGCTCGTCGCGGCGGCCCGCCCGGCGCACAGCCGTGGGGCCGCGGGGCCGCGGCATCGCGCCTCGAGGCGCTTGCTCCGGGACCGCGGGCCCACGTCGAGGCCACGAGGGCCAGTGGCACGGGCACGTGCTCCGCTCGTGGAGGCACACTGTTAACGTTCGACACGTCCACAGCCATGGGGGGGCGCGGTTCGCCGTGGGGCCGCGCCTCGGCGTCCAGACCGCGAGGGCACGGGCATTGGGGCACGTGCGTCGCGCGCAACGTTTGTTTTGGCTCGGGGGGGGGTCCCGGGGGCAGAGATTCGAGGTGCTCGGCGTCGATCGGCGGGGAGCGAGGGGGGGGAGAGAAGGGGGAGACCTTCTCCGAAGGCGGCGGGGCTTCTGAGAGGCCCCCGCGCCCTCGGAGAAGATTTCTGCGCCTTCGGAGCTGCTCAGAAGACTTCTCAGAAGGCCAGGGGACTTCGAGTCTTCTGAGAAGGACTTCGCCTTCTCCCTTCCCCCTCGCTCGCCGCCAGGTCGAGGTGTTTGAGTTTGTCGATGCCTGCCCTGGACTCCTGGAGGCCCCGCAGGCTCGTCGGGAATCCACAAATTATGATACGTAGCACCCCGCAGATGCGGATAAGAGTGAGGGGGTGGTGGGGACGTCGGCAGTTTGCGAGACTCTGGAGAAGCCTACCGCAGGCGCCAAAGTTTCACAAATCATACAACGAATCCGCCGCAGGCGCCGATTTTTTCGTTCAGCCAATGTGGGTAGGTCGCGGGTGGGTCGCAAATGGGTCGCGGGTGGGTCGTTGTTGGGTCGCGGGTGGGTCGGGGGGGCCCATAATCATCATTCCGACAAGCGAAGCCGTTTAGTAAACGCACACAAGGAATGAATCGAACAGGGAAGGCCTTGTTAGTCAACGCCCAAGGCCGTTTAGTAAACGTCAATTGTCGGGTCCCGGTGTTTTTTCCTCCCTTGAGGTGGGTCGAGGGGTGGGTCGCGGGTGGGTCGCGGGGTGCATCGCGGGTGGGTCGCGGATGGGTCGCGGATGGGTCGCGGGGTGGGTTGCGGGTGGGTCGCTTTTTTGTCTTCGATCACACCCCTTTTGGAAGGATTTTTTCTCTTTGCGGGGGGTGGCGGGCTTAGACAGGCGGGCAAACTTGAACGGGCGGACAATGTTTCGTGGGCGTACATGTGCCCGCCATTGGAATTGGTGTGTTCCCTGCAAAAAGAGGAGGGGGAGAACGAGGGATAGTGGGAGGAAAGGAGGTGGAGGGACGAAGGAAGAGGGAACACGAGAGGAGAGAAGGAGCGAAGAGGTCCCCAAAAAGGTTGGCGACAGATCACCAGTCGACAGGTCGATGAGAGCGGTGGAGGAGGAATGAGCCAGAGGCAGGAGGAAACAAAGTATGTCGACCTCATTATTCATGACCGCCTTGTTATCTCAATGCGGTCAGCACTCGACTAGGTAGAACCTAAGAGTGCGGGATGGTTTTAGCACATATATATATATAGGAGGTCCCGGGCCCCCCTTCCAAGAGAGCCCAAGACCGCACAAGAGCGTTTCGAAATGAGTCCAACATGGCTTGAAGACCACCCATTAGGGCTTCAAGACGGCCAAGATGCCCTCAAAAGGACTCCCACGAGGCACTCAGAAGGCGAAACAAGTAGGTTGTTGAATTGTTTTTGCTGTTTCGTGCTTCCGACAGTCCAAGACTGCCCACGAGGCCCCAGAAATCAGCTCAAGAAGGCCCAAGAGGCACCCAAAGAGGGCGCCACAACGGTGCCAGAAAGCCCTGAGACGGCCCAAGAATCTCCTAAGACGGCCCAAGAGGCGCCCAAGATCGCCCAAGAGGGCCCCAAGACGACCCCAAGAGGGGGAACACGAACCGACAAGTCGAGCCTTCCGCCCCAATTGGCCCCCGGGAGGCCCCAAGAGGCCCCCAAGAGAGCCCAAGAGACCCCCTAGAGGCCCCCTAGAGACGCAACAAAGACCCAAAAAGAGGCCCCAAGAGCACCCCAAACGGCCCCCAAGGGCCTCTAAAACATACCAGTGCATAGCTAAGGACCGCCTAGCCTATCGCAGCGTTGCATGACTTGCATGACATGGCATGGCACGGCACAGCACGACAGAGCTATCCGTGCCTGTGCATATCACAGTCTGGTTCAGCACGCCTTAGCATTGGATCCCATAGCAGTGTCTAGATGAGCCTAGCACTTCACCTCATGACGTATCATTGCCCCGCATGGCATTACATCTCATGACACATCGTGGCGTATTATGGCATTCCAATGCGCATAACTTAATCGATCAGCACAGTACTTCTCTGCGACAAAGTAAACGGAAGTCATGCAAATATCACACCCCCGTTGTTGTTCTTATTGTTTACTTTAACCTAGCAGCTCAGCTCACGGCATAACATTGCATTGCATTGCATAGCCCGGCATGCCGTGTCTGTGCATACCATGTAACGTGGCAGCAATTGCTCTGCGTAGGAAACATAACATGGTATGGCTTCAGCGCATCGTCCCATATATTGTCATCGCATTTCGCAGCACATCATGGCATGACATACAATGCGCACTGTAGAGTAGATCGCGTTATTGCCATGCATGTTGCATCGTGACATTGCGCTTTATAGCGTCACATGGTGTATCATGGCATCCCATAGCATAGTGCAACATGGCGCTGCAGCGCTGCATTTGTCATGGCCCACAGCTTGGCGACAGATCACCAGTCGACTGGCCGATGAGAGCCGAGAAAGAGAAGGAATGAGGAATGAGGAATGAGGAAGAGGCAGGAGGAACCAGATAATGTTGACCTCACTATTCATGACCGGTTTGTTTTCTCAGTGCGGTAAGCATTCGACCGGCTAGAACCTAAGCGCGCGAAGCGCGCGCGATGGTTCTATCAATATGTACGTGTATGTATGTGCATATCGCTGTGTATATATATATATACATACATACATACATACATACATACATACATACATACATATATATATATATGTATATATATATATATATATGTATGTATACCTCGGGCCTCTGGCGGCCGTCCAGAAAGGTCTGGGGCATTCCAGTAGCCGCTCCCGGCGAGGCGCAGCTGCTGGAACAAGCACCCCGAGGCCAGAGAGCCTCGATGTGCGTTCTCTTTCTCGGGAGCAGGCCAAATCGCCGTGAGTTCTGTTGCAAGTGAAAGTCGGGGCCCTAAAGGGCCCTCCAATAGAGGGACCTAAAGGGCCCTGAAGGGCCCTCCAAGTGAAAGTCGGGGCCCTAAAGGGCCCGAAAGTGAAAGTGAGAGGAGCCCTCCCATGCAGACAAGCACGGGGCGGTCCGAAAGGGCCAGGGCAGGCGGAGGCGGGCCAGCCGGAAGGCTTGACTTAAGACCCCCCCAGACGCCCAGCCCACCCCTCGCGCTCGCACACCGAAACAGCACGACATGTCCGGGCCACACACTCGAGGCGAGCAAGTGAGCAGCGATGGAAATACAGACTCCTTCCAGCCGTTCGTGTCCTTCCAGCTGTGGCCTGTCGGGGCGGCGACGGCGGCCCACCGGGACGGCGAGGCGGGGCGGCGGCACAGCGCCCCCGAGGCGCCATGGGCACCGAGCCGGCGAGCAAGCGGCAGCGCACCGCGGACGCCGTGACGGCGCGGAAGGAGGGCCCTCCCATCTTTCTGCACGAACGGAATGGGCACCGACGATCCGACGCGGCCCGATGCCGACGTCGGGCGTTCCAGGGAAGGCCCCGCCTGCGAGGGCCGAAGGAGTTGGCGTGTCTGCCTCGGCGGCAGGATCCTGAGAGCTGGCGGAGAGGGCGGCGGCAGTAGAACGAAGGCAGCTCCGCCGGGGAAGGTCGGCGGGAGCGAAAATCGCCCTCCACGATTCGGCACGAACGACATGGGCACGGAAAGAATGGGTACAATGCTCAACAGCAGTCCCTGTCCATTTTGGACAGGACTCGCTGAGAGACAGAAGGCGCGGAAGGAGGGGCCCCCCAGCCCCCCCAGGGGGCGACGAGGTTTTGGTTTGCGTATGTCGTGCCTTCGCCGGCCCTCCCAGAGGCCAACGGAAGTGGCGACAGTTTCGCATATCGCACCCCCCCAGGGGTCGGCGAGGTCTCGTGGGGATTTGCGTATGAAGGGGCAACGTCAGCGGGGAATGCAGGCAAGACGCTGGACCCAGGCCCACTTGCGTCGTCACAAGAAGCACGACGGGAGGTGCTTGGTTATGTTCTGCCTCTGGGGGCTGTCGCCGGGCCCCAGCCCGGTACCGTCCAGACCAACTCGGGAGGAAAAACCGAGCCTGGGGAAGGGGTGGAGCTTTCCGGGGTCCACGTTGTGAAAAGTCTTTACGTCGAGGCCTCTTAGGAATGAGGACCGCGCCTGTCCTCAAGTCCTGGGTCGGGGAGCTATCTGCGACCCAGGCTCGCCGTGGCCCGCAACGCCTCTTCGTTTCTCATTGGGCGCTCCTCGTATAGCACAGTGGCTGTAGGCTAGGGGGGGGGGCGCGTGGATTGCTCGATCGTGCCGAGATTTGGCGATCCACCCAAGACGCAGTTGGGCGGAAGGGGCGCAGAAGGTAGAAAAAAGGGTCGTTTGCACCGACACTGGCGCGTCAGCTGCCCGCATAAGGTCGCGTAAGATCCGTTTTTGATTGTCGCTCAATTGGTTCCCTGACCGTCGCCGTCGCTGTCGCCGTCGCCTTAGTCGTCGTCGTCGTCGCCGCCGTCGCCGTCGCCGTCGTCGTTGCCGTCGTCGTTGTCGTCGTCGTCGTGATCGTCGTGATCGTCGTCGTCGCCGTCGTCGTCGTCGTCGCCGTCGTCGTCGCAAGGCGCCGGCCTGCCGTGGCCAAACATCATGGTGGACGGGTATTGCCCAATGTCGGCTCGCGGGGGCCCCTCGTGGGCCTTCGGGTGCGCTGCAGAAGGCCGATCCGTCGGGTAACACCAACTGGCCCCCAGGAAGGGGTCCAGGCCTCTGGGGAGCCACATTCGGAGGAGGAAATGGTACCCGTACTGCTACCGGTCCCGCGTTTTGCAGCTTCTGCGCCTCCTTGGAGGCCCTCGTCGCCACCGCCGGATTTGCATCGAAGTCCTAATCAGAATGCACCCCGAGAGATTTCTGGGGTGTTGTGTTGTGGTGTGTTGTGTTGTGTGTTGTGTGTTGTGTGTTGTGTGGTGTGGTGTGGCGTGGCGTGGCGTGGCGTGGCGTGGCGTGGCGTGGCATGGCGTGGCGTGGCGTGGCGTGGTGTGTGTGTGTGTTGTGCTGTGCTGTGCTGTGCTGTGCTGTGTTGTGTTGTGTGTGTTCGCGCGTGTGTGCGCGCGTGTGTGTGTGTGTGTGTGTGTGTGTTCGTGTTCGTGTTCGTGTTCGTGTTCGTGTGTGCGCGTGTTCGTGTGTGTGTGCGTGTGTGAGTGCGTGTGTGTGTGCGTGTGTGTGTGTGAGTGTGTGTGTGCGTGTGTGCGTGCGTGTGCGTGTGCGGGTGCGGGTGCGGGTGTGTGTGTGTGTGTGGGTGTTTGTGCGTGTGTGTGTGTGTGTGTGTGCGTGTGTGCGTGCATGTGTGCGTGTGAGCGCGTCTGTGTGTGTGTGCGTGTGCGTGTGCGTGTGCGTGTGCGTGTGCGTGTGCGTGTGTGCGTGTGCGTGTGCGTGTGCGTGTGCGTGTGCGTGCGTGCGTGCGCGCGCGCGTGCGTGCGCGCGCGCGCGTGTGTGTGTGGTGTGTGTGGTGTGTATGTTGTGTGTGTGCGTGTGCGTGTGCGTGTGCGTGTGCGTGTGCGTGTGCGTGTGCGTGTGCGTGTGCGTGTGCGTGCGTGCGTGCATGTGTGTGTGTGTGTCGTTGTATGTGTGTGTGCGTGTAAGTGTGTGTGTGTGTGTGTGTGCGTGTGCGTGTGCGTGTGCGTGTGCGTGTTCGCTTGTGTGCGTGCCCCTGGCATTCCCGAGTTCTAGAGGACTATCGGCGGGAGGCCGTTGACTGTTGTTGGCGAGTGGGGGCTCCTGCCGGGCCCTGGGGCCGCCCGACAAAAGCACGAGCTCGGGGGTGAGAAGCCGACGGTCCCCAGGAAGGGGCTCGGGCCTCCCCGGGTCGCCGCGCTGTGGCAAGAGTCACGGCGTCCGATGTTTGTCAGGAGCGAAATAAGGACGTACACGTACATGAGTCCACGCTGGTTTCGAGAGTACATGTTGCCCGAATGTTCGTATCACGCGGCCAGTGTCGCGGATCGAAGGGCCGTTTTCATGTACACAGCTGGGCGCGTACGTCCTCTGTGGGCTCCCTCGTCTGGGCCTGCGGGGGCCACGACCTAGTCACGCGCCCAGAGCGCGGGGGGCAGCAGGCTCCACCGTGGGATCGGGGGGGGGCATTCCCGATCGTGCTCGGCGGTGCTCGCCGCCGCGGAGCGTGGCCACGGCGTCCGGTCAGAAGAGGGTGCGAGGGGAGGGAGGGGGAGGGGACCAGGGGGGTCCCCACAGCGGCGGCGGCCAGGGGCAAGAGGAAAGGCAGGGGACAAGGGGGGTCCCCCACGGCGACGGGGGCGGGGGCCCACTCGGATGCCCTTGAGCCGAGGAGGGGGGAGGGAGGGAAGGGGGATGGCGCATATGACGTCCTACCCCTCTCACCGATCCCTTCCCTTCCAGAAAGGACCCCCTCGTGTCATGCGCGGCCAGACAATGGGAGCCCCGTGCACTGCAGGAGGAGGTGGCGGATGAGATGGAGGACGAGCAGGAGAAAGGGAAGGAAGATGAGGAACGAGGAGGACGAGCAGGAACAGCAGCAGCAGGAGCTCGAGTGGGGGAAGCGGAAGCTGCGGGATGACCAGGGAAAAGGCGGGGGAGGGGAAAGGAGCAGGACGACAGCGACGAGGAAGCATTCGGATCCAGCAAAGTCCAGCAAATGGCCCGCGCTGGGGCGAGAGTGCCTCTCTGAACGATGGGAGCAAAGCGCTGGTCCTAAAATGAGGCCCACGTTTCAGCGACAGGAACACTTTGAGACGTCGAACAAGCTCCGATATTGGAGGACAAATAGATGAACGTTTGAAGCCCTTTGTGCTAAGAGCAGTACGCGGAGGGGGTTCGTTCCACGCTCCGGCCATCTTCAGGGGAGACAGGATTATTGTATTCATAGTGAGTAAGTGCTGACTAATTGTAGAGTGGGGGAGGAGGAAGGGCGGGAGGGAGGAAGGAGGGAAGGAGGTGGAGCGAGGAGGAGGAGGAGGAGGAGGAGGAGGAGGAGGAGGAGGGAGGAGGAGGGCGACGGGGAATCGGGGAGAAGGAGAAGGAAGAGGAAGGAAGAGGGGAGGAAGGACGAGGGAGGGAGGAGGGAGGAAGGGTAGGGGCACCCTTGGCCCCGCCCACGACCCAAAGGAGCTGCTCAGCGAGTTCCAGCCTGCGGAGAGCTTCCTGGGCGCGGGGGGCGGGGGCCGCCGACTTCTGCCGAGTCCACCGGGCAGTTCGTCGTCGTCGTCACCGAACTGTGTTGCGTCGACGACGCTGGCCGATTGATCCATCGAGAATCGGGGTTTCGTAGTTTACTCGTTCTTCTGGTGCTGCTAGCCCCCTTTCGCTGCGGGTGTGGTGCGCAAGCGCACGCCGGTCATTGGAAGTAGGTGACCCTGGACTCCCAGAGTCCAAGCCAATGTTAGGCGCCTCCCTGCTTCATGAGTGGGGCGGTGTTCCTCATCAGGGCGCGGGCAGAAGCCCAATCTGCTTTCAGCGCCCTCCCACTTCGTGTGTTTGCCTGCTTCTTCCGACCGACGTGTCGCCCTGCCGCGCCCCGGCTGTTGCTGCCCGACGCCTCGTGCCCCCTATCGCCGCCGATGCAAGCGGTTTCGGCCATTTGTTTGCGCCTGTGCTCTGGCCTGTGGGGGCCCTTGAGGCCTCCGGGCCGAGGCTGTCGGGCAGGCCTATAGAATCTGGAGACAGTGCTCCGGACCCGCCCCATAAGTTTGCCGCTATGAAGAAATCGGGTCGTCGTTGCCCGTGGGTCATGAAAAGATCACGACGGGCGGTTTGTCGCTATTTCCTGCCTCCGGGGGCCCCCTTTGACCCTGGGAGCCGTCTAAAAAGGACTCAGGCCGAGAAACTGGTCCCTGGGAGTGGGTAGAGACCTCGGGCGGTCGACGCTACGAACAAATCATGATCTCGAGGGTCTGGTGATGTGGATACACTTCTGCCTAGCGTTCTGGAGCGCGGTCAGGGTTTTGTGGAAGCTCCGGAACGGACCGCCAGATCTTAGAGAGGCTGGGCGTATCGCGATCCGATGTTGTCCCGATGTTGAAATCGTCTTGGATATGAGGGGCATCGGGCCCAGCTGCCTTCGAGTGCCGCTGCCTTTGCTTCGGATCGCCTCCTTTGGGCAGATATTAGCTGGCATGTTCGGGTTGGTTGGCTGCCGGGCCCGGCCAGAGCAGTCAGACGCAGTGAAGGGAACAGGTCCGAAGGTTTTTCGCAGTTCGGTCTGGTCGGGCCCTCCATGGGCCTGGCGTCGATTTGTTTATTGGTGGAACCCTGGGGAAGGGTTTGGTGTCCAGGACCTGGTTGCCGCTTTCCTCATGCTACAACCAAACAGCAGTTTCTGCTCCGTTGGAGGAGAGGAGGAGGACGCTGGCAGGGACAGGCGAGGGTGATAGGGACCGAGAGAGTGGAGCAGCGGTAAGGGGAGGGACAGGGAGAAAAGGAAGGAGAAAGAGCCGCGATGAGAATAGGGCTCCAGAGGGAAAGGAGCCGACTTCGGATGAAAAGCCGATCTTTTGGAATGCTTGGGGTCCAGGCCCAGTTAACCTCATGACCCATTACCTCATGTAAAAAAGTAAGCGGAAGGGGACGATGGATGATCAGGAGGAGAAGAGAGCGGAGGAGAGGAAGCGGACGGAGGAGAAGAGGATGGAAGAGGGAGGAGGAGGAGGAGGAGAAGGAGGAGGAGGAGAAGGAGGATTGGGAGCAGCAGAAGGCGAGGAAGAGAAACAGGAGGAGACACTTCAAAACAGTACACTATCCGACTGTCAACCATCCGGAAAGCATGAGGATCCACCCGAAAGCTCGTGCATGGAGCGGAGTACACGCATGGCTGCTGGCGAACACTTTGCCTTGCCCGAGCGCTTCTGTTTAGAGATGAACCTGGGCAACTGCACCCAGCGAGCGTGCGCCAACCGTCCGCATGCCACGCTTCTTTGTTGTGTGATCCTCTCTTCCGCTTCCTGCCTCTCTCTCTATCTCCTGGGTGCATACGCTTATGTTCGAGTCAGATGCTCTGCGGGCTGGGAGGCAAGCGCAAGGGCATGATCTTCAAGCTCGGCGTCAAGGCCGTACCCCTCCCTTGCGTGCTCTGAACGTTTCAGAGGACGGGCCCCAAGCGTGGAAGCTTGTTAACCGTGCCTCCACGACGACGAGGTTCGAATAAATATTCACAGTGCCAAATGTTCCTGTATCGATTGCAGCGAAACATCCAGTTTGGAGCAATGTGCTTCTCCGCTCCGCTGGCGACGACGGTGTCGTCGTCGCCCTCGTCGCCGCCGTCCGTCGGTACCCCCGTCCTTGCCGACGACATCGTGGTCGTCGCCCTTACTCTCCCCATCCAGGACGCCTCCTCCCCAGGGGCCTCCAGGATCTCTGGTGGCCCCCGGGGGCCCTTGGAACCCGAGCAGCTTGAAACGTCCAAGATCCTAAATCCTCGTCCCCCCCCCCCCTCACACCCCCTTGCGAGGAGAGAAGCGGGCAGCAAGAGGAGGCGAAGTAAGGCGGAGGAGGAAAGAGGGAAGGAGAGGGATGAGGAGGAGGAGGAAGAGGAGGAGGAGGAGATGGAGGTGGAGGCGAAGGGATGGAAGGGAAGGAGGAGGAGGAGGAGGAGGAGGGAAGGGAAGGGAAGGGAAGGGAAGGGAAGGGAAGGGAAGGGAAGGGAAGGAGGAGGAGGACGACGACGAGGAGGAAGGTGGAGGGAGGAGGGAGGAGAGAGGAGGATCGTGTGCGCGGGAGCGCGCGCGGGAGGAACAGGGGCGAGGCGGGAGGAGCACGGGCTGGGCCGCACTGGTCGGCCGAGCCTTGGCAGCTGCTGGCGGCTGTCCGCGTGGGGCCGGGGAAGCACGATAGGGCGGGACGACCTCAGTCAGGAGGGAAAGACACGTTTTTTTGATCCGCGGGTCGAGAGCGCACCTCTTCCGGTCGAAGCTAAGCGGGCCGCGCAGAGCTTGAATTACGCAGAGAAGGGGGAAGAGAAGGGGGGCGCAGCCTCAGAACGAGGCCGGTAGGATGCAACGCCTCGGAACCAGGCGGTGCCGTAGCCGACGTACTTGCAAAGGAGCGCCTTTTCCATGAAACCGGTGGCGGAGTACCGGTCGAAGCAAAATGCTGTGCTTGGTTCTGCCGTCAACGCAGGAGGGAAAGACACACACAGACACAATTAATCGTCGATTCCCAGGAAGAGATGGGAACACATGGGAAGCTTTGGAGGGGGGGGGGAAGACCAGAGCACAGAACATGTTGGAAAACAGTTGGAATCCCGTTATTCGTGTCTGCTCCTTTGTGTGTCCCGGGGCACCTTCACTCAGGGGGCGAGTCGTGGAGCTGGAGTCGGCGACGCATCGCCGAGAGCTCGGCGCCGGGCGCGCGAGGACGAGTCCGCACGCTCCTGGGCGGGGTGGGCTTGTGGGGCCCCGTATCGGCGATCCAGGGGTGATTGGGGTCCGACGCGCCCCCCCCCCCCGAGCCTATTGCATGGCATCGCTCGGGCGTGTGCATTTAGTTCTCGGCGACGGCCATCGAGGACCATCCTTGATCATTTGACGACAAAGCAACACGCACGAAATCGAAACGTGCACGAGGAATGGGCGTCCGAGCGATGGCGAGATCCCCACCGCAGCGTTGCGCCTGAATCCCCCCCGAGCCTATCCCCAGTGCCGTTTTGAATACATGCTCCGCGTGCGGAGCATGTATTAAAAATTAAGGGGTGCAGTATGAAAAACAAAGATGAGTTTATGCAGTTATTTGTAGATTAATCATGTATTGAAAATCCTATAGTAATAAACAAATCCTATGTGTTAAAAACTGCCCTGTATCCCCACCGCAGCGTTGCGCCTGAATGTCACTCTTAGGGGAACAAAAAGTAGCATGAACATAACATATCGGAGGTCCGCGCGGATTTCTCGGATCGGCGCTGGACCCCCCTCCCTGGCGCGCGGAGCGCGCCAGGGGCGGCGCCCGAGGCGCCGCCGGGGGGCCCCAGCGCCGATCCGAGAAATCCGCGCGGACCTCCGAGTTTTTATGTTTATGTTCATTTTTGTTCCCCTTACTTTACCTCCGTCCACACGGTAGGTTCGCGCGTCGTGTCGACCGGTGGCGACCCCGCCGCCGGCGTTCAGCGCTGAACGCCGGCGGCGACCCAGCATGGGTCGATGCTGAATGACTTGACGTTGCGGAGACGGCCGATCGTCCAAGGACGAACGGCCCCCGCGGTGTCCGAAGCCAGCGCCGAAGGCGGCACGACACGAGCCCGCCGTGGTCCTTCTCCATCGGAGAAGAAAGACTTATGTCGGGCCTGTCCCCCTGCAGGGGGACTTTCGACGAACAATAAAAAAATACCCCGAGCATAGTCAAAAAAGAGTCCAAACATAGTCCGGGTATTATTTTTGTTGGTATGTGTTGACCTTTTGGGGGTATTCTTGGGGTATTTGTTATTTTTCGTCGAAAATCCCCTTGTAGGGGGACAGGCCCGACCTAAAGAAAGAGACACACTGCACCCTTCTCAGTACTTCCCGGGGTTTGCGCGGGCTCTGTGGATCGGCGGTGGGTCCCCACCCAACAGGTTAACGCCTGGTCCTTTCTGCTCTGACCATGGCTCTCCTATCCTATTACGCTTGGTCTTCCTGTGTTACTTCTTGTCGGTTCTCATGTGCTACCTGTGTTGGTTCTCCTGCTATGAAATGCCCCCCCCCCCCCCCCCCCCGACGAAGGCATCTGTACAGCACCACTGGGCCAGGCCAGGGCCATCCTGGGCCCCAGGACGGTGTATAGACCCTCCTGGCCTCGGCCAGGAGGCAGGAGGGCCAGGATGGCCCTGGCGCTGCAGCGGTGGTGGTGTATGGATGCCTGCTGCGTACACCCCCCCCCCTCTCGCACCGCCGGGCGTGTCTGTGGGCGGGGTGGCGCTGGGCTTGGCATCGCTCGGACGTGTGCATGTTTTCTCGGCGACGGCCATCGAGGACCCTCCTTGATCACTTGGCGAGAAAAAGAAACAAAAAAACACGCGCGAAATCGGAAAATGCACGAGGAATGGACGTCCGAGCGATGGCGAGTGGGCGCCTTCGCTCGGGACCCCCCTTTGCCGCCTCCCGCCCCTGGAGCTCGGAGGGCAACCTCCCGGCGCCTGCCAGGGCCGGAGGGGGCCCGCCCTCGCTCTCCCCGAGCTGCGGCCCTCCCGCCCCTCCTGCGCGCCGCGCGCCGTCGCTGCCCGTGGTGCCTCGGGGCGCCGCCCGCCCGGTTCCCCGGCGGGGGGCGCCTCGGGGGAGGGGAAGGGACGGAGAGGGAGGCAGAGAGAGAGGGAGAGAGAGAGAGAGGGAGGGAGGAACGGAGGGGGAGAGGGAGGGAGAGAGAGAGAGGGGAGGAGGAGGAGGAGGAGGAGGAGGAGGAGGAGGAGCAGGAGGAGGAGGAGGAGGAGTAGCAGCAGGAGGAGGAGGAGGTGGAGGAGGAGGAGGAGTAAACGAGGGAGAAGGAGGAGAGGGATGTAACGAGAGGGAGGACGATAGGGGGGGTGTAACGATAGGGGGTGGCCGCGGGGGACCAGTGCACGATTGGGAGGAGAAGGAGGAGGAGGAGGAGGCGTAAACGAGGGAGAAGGAGGTGAAGGGTGTAAGGGCGAGGGCGAGGAGAAGCTGGAGCTGGATGAGGATGGTATTCCCAGAGCGCCAGGAAGCGGCTTTTCCTAGAAGACCAGAGGACCAGAGCCGGGACCCGAGCCGGATCCAGAGGTCCAGCGCATTGAAAAAAAACAAGACGTTGGTTTTTCACTGTTTTCGGCCTCCAGAGACCTTCGCTGGGCCCTGGGACCGTGAAAAAGAACGACTCGGGATAACCGGTCCTTGGGAATATGTCGATACTTCCAGGGGAGCCGCATGGTAAACATTCACGACATCGGCTCTCTGGGGGGCTGGGGCCGGGGCCGGATCCAGGGCAGGGCCGGGGATACGACCAGAGGGGGATGAGCTCAGGGGGTGACGCATCGACCCCCGATCGCCCACTAGTGGCCGAGAGGGACCCGACAGCCAAGCCCGCTCAGGAGCCTGCAGAATCCCTGCCGGGGGCCTATCGCCGATCTGTCGGCGCCGTATTGCCGAGTCCAGGTCAACGTTTCCCCCCGCCTCCCACACACACACACCGCTGAGCCGATCCCCCACCCTGAGGGGAAGGACTCCTGTCCGTGGCCGTTTCAGTCCAGACCGCCTGTGCCTATATGATTCTCGCCAGCGCCGCCCACCTCTCTACCCCAGCACAGCCCGACACTCGGGTCCGCCCGATTTCCTGCTCTCCGTGAAGAAGGACTCGGACGAGTGTGTCGTAGGGGAGGTAGACGAGAAGGGGAAGGTTGTCTGGGACGCTGCCGCTCTTCACGGGAACGTCGGAGACACCCCCGACGTCTTCGAGAGGGCGTTGCGTGGGTTCCGTTCTCCGTGAGCGCCTCCACAGTCGCGAATTTCATGTTTCACAGCCGTGTCATGGAACACTTGCAAGAAAGGGGTGTCTGTTGCAAGACGGGTGTGTAAGGAGCGCCGGAACAGTACGGGGGGTGATGTTGTAGCATTATTGCTGGAAGTTCCAACACGGTTTACACTGCATGGAAAAACGTATCACGCACATCCCATCTCAGTTGCCGAGCGCTGTGATTGTGCCTTTTTTATTCCTAGACTTTGGATGCGGGCTCTCAGAGAGGTAGAATTCTGATCTTATTGATATGGTGCAGCCATCGGGAATTCAATATACACTACCGCACACATTCTAGATCATCTCGAAGGAGATGGGTCGGCGACTCAGGTGTTTGTCCAGAAGATCCGCACCGCTTACAACGCTACATCGGTCGAGATTGTACTCGGCTTGGACGCGAACGTGCAGTTCCCCACATTATGGGGATCTCTCACTGGGTACGCTGTGCTCGAAGCTCGGCAGAGTCACTCTCCAGCCAAAGTTCCGGTTGTCGCTTCTGGGATCGAGTCTCTGGGGCTGCGACTGGTGAACACGTTCTGGAGTCCACGAGTCGAGGCAGATGGTGTGGTACGTTTTGACAAGTTGTGGACGCTTTCCATGGCAAAGGGGCGTT